AAAGGTGCAATAATTGTTTTCTGTCGCAAATCATTGATGATTCAACTTTGGACGAAGAAAATATTGGTATTGGTCATCGTTGGTCTACAAACAATAAATAATTGCAATGGTTAGTGTCTAACTGTTGATTGATGTTATTTAATACAAAAAAAATTATTGAAATCTTTAGTCTTTAGTATCATAATGTTTCCATGTAAGAACCTAACCTGTATTTGCAATTTAGGAGAACAATAACAAAATCAAATAATGGATACGTAAGAGACTATGTTAATTTTAGTAATGGAACCAAACGGAGTGGCATAACAACGTTCAAGGTGGATGACATAATTGCAACAAATTGAAATCGAGCGACGTTGATGAAATTTTACTAATGACTAGAACTATAATTTCACATAATAAGATTTCATTGACAAAGCATCAACAAGAACTTGCCTGCAACTGCAATCAGTGTCTGAACTTATTTCTCTGAAGGCTGCTACATGAACAGGGCCAATGTCGCCTTGTTCAAACCAAAGGCGCCACATCGCCCTCCTGTTTGAATAGGGTCTATGTGTCCCCGTTCAAACGCTCAACTCTATTTCTCTAGGGACAAAAAGATTATTTAAACACAAACTCAAAATCTAACTTCCAATGTGGAAGATAATTTTACGAAAAATTTCATATATAAGAGATTAAGTATGAATCATTTCAAAACTAAGAAATAAGGTTTAAAACTTCAAAAATAAAATATTAATTTAATTTATTCATGAAATAAATAATTAAAAATATATTTTATTAATAAATTATAAGGTCACAATTCTATACAATTTGGTCACAAATTATCGAATTAATTGATCACAAATTATTCTTAATCATAGATCAAAAATTTTATAGGTCACAATTTATTCATTAATCACAAATAAAAATTTTTATAAGTCACAACTTATTTCTCGACCACAACTTAATAAATTGAGTCACAATCACATTTTTTAGATCACATATTATTTATTGGTGTTAATTTAACTAATTTATTGGTCACAATCAATCAAATAATTGGTTACAAATACCCCATCCACAACCACAACCACCATGACCACAACCACCGTCACCAGATCGCCAATATCACAACCACCACCAACCAAAGACCACCAAAAAATCAGATCCAAAATAATGTTATCGCACAACAAGGTCACAACTACTACAACGCCGCGCACGACCACCACCAACTCACCAGACCTCCATCACCACCACATCACTATGCCAACATCACAACCACCACCACACAACCGTAATGTCCTCGCGACTTCGCAGCAACCAGGCGCCGCCGTGAGTTCACAAGGCGTCGAGTAGCAATTAGAGAGAGACGGGCATGGAAAGAATCGCATGCAATGGCCACAACTTTGCCTCTCTTTTTGAGTTTGAATTCTTTGAAAAGGACTATCGCAAACCACACGAAGTGGCCACCGTGCTCACCGCTCGTCGTCGCGCTCGTAGCGCCGTTGTGGGCTCAAATGCGCGACGCGTCGTGCACCGCAACCGCTAATCGCCGGAAAGAGGATAGAGAGAGGGTGAGATAAGGAAATATCGAGGTAAGAGGCTTAGAGACAGGAAGAAGGGAGAGATAAAATTAGAGTTTGGGATTGAAATTGTGTAGTGTAGATTAATTAATTTTATAATATTATTATTAATATTAAAACTTTGAATTAATGTCTGATTTTTGTATAAACAAACTTTAAATCTGATTTTTGAATTGTGATCTCTGAAATTCTAGTTGCATGTAATTTCTACATAATTCTACCTAAAAGAGGGCTATTTGGCCCTCGGATGTAGCAAAGCCAGAGGCCGGTTGTGGGTCCTGTAGATATAGGGTCCAGGCCAAGCCCATAACAGTCTTCCACTAATGTGGCCGATCTTTCGAGCGGCCGAGGCCTGGACACTTGACACCTATAGGACATTATAAATTAGGGAAAAATTCAATTTTCCTACTTTATCTTTACCCTATTTCAAAAATAACAAAACAACTTTCACATTTGAAAAATCAGAAATTTCCCACCCCCACGGCTCCACCACCCCCATCGCTCCGGCGACCACTCCGATGACTATTCCGGCGAGAATTAATCATAGATCAAAAATTTTATAAGTCACAAATTATTTTACAGTTACAAATCAAAAATTTTAAAGGTCACAATTTATTCATTGATCACAAATAAAATTTTTTATAAGTCACAACTTATTTACCGGCTACAAATTATCAAACTAATTGGTCACAACTTATTTCTCGACCACAACTTAATAAATTTTGAGTCACAATCACATTTTTTAGATCAAATATTATTTATTGGTGTTAATTTAACTAATTTATTGGTCACAATCAATCAAATAACTGGTTACAAATACCTCATCAAATTCAACCCAATCCACAACCACAACCACCACCACCACCATGACCACAACCACCGTCACCAGACCGCCAATATCACAACCACCACCAACCAAGGACCACCAAAAAATCAGATCCAAAATAATGTTATCGCACAACAGGGTCGCAACAACTGCAACTCCGCTCACGACCACCACCAACTCACCAGACCTCCATCACCACCACATCACTATGCCAACATCACAACCACCACCACGCAACCGTAATGTCGTCGCGACTTCGCAGGAACGAGACGCAGCCGTGAGTTCGCAGGGCGTCGAGTAGCAATTAGAGAGAGATGGGCATGGAAAGAATCGCATGCAATGGCCACAACTTTGCCTCTCTTTTTGAGTTTGAATTCTTCGAAAAGGACTATCGCAAACCACACGAAGTGGCCACCGTGCTCATAGCTCATTGTCGCGCTTGTAGCGCCGTTGTGGGCTTAAATGCGCAACGCGTCGTGGGCCGCAACCGCTAATCGCGGGAAAGAGGATAGAGAGAGGGTGAGATAAGGAAATATCGAGGTAAGAGGCTTAGAGACAGGAAAAAGGGAGAGATAAAATTAGAGTTTGGGATTGAGATTGTGTAGTGTAGATTAATTAATTTTATAATAATATTATTAATATTAAAACTTTGAATTAATGTCTGATTTTTGTATAAACAAACTTTAAATCTAATTTTTGAATTGTGATCTCTGAAATTCTGGTTGCATGTGATTTCTACATAGAGGAAATTACACCTAAAAAGGTTTTTAGATTTCCATTTTCATAAATAAGGAATCAAGTTTAATCATGCAAAAATCAGGTTTTAATTGATAATTAATTAATAATAATAATAATAATAATAATAATAATAATAATAATANGAGGGCGGGAGTTGGGGTAATGTTTGTGACCAAAACATTGGCGGAGGATCGAGACTGGGGTGGGGTGTTTGGTGTATGTGACTGACATTTTGAGTCATTATGACCCATCCATAAACTGTGATATATAATTTTTTAATCTGTGACCAATGAATTAAATTGTGACTTATAAAATGTTTAATTTGAGACCTCGAAATAACTTTGTGACCAATTAATTTGATGTTTTGTGACCGTAAAATAGGTTGCGTAACTTATAAATTTTGTGATTTGTGATCGATGAACAAATTGTGACTTTTAAAACTGTAATTTGTGACCGATGGACGAATTGTGACCTATAAAATTTTGATTGTGACCATTAATTTGGTTGGTGTGTGACCAATAAAGAATAAATTGTGACCGATAAATACTTTGTGACCTACAAATTTATTAATTTGTGACCAATAAAAGTTATTTGTGACCTATAATTCGTTGTTTTGTGACTATAAAATAAGATGTGTGACTTAAAAATTTTATGATATGTGACCGATTAAACAATTGTGACTTTTAAATTTTTTATTTGTGACCGATGAATGAATTGTGATCTATCAAATTTTCGAATTGTGACCTTAAAATTTTTGAATTGTGACCAAATTGTATAGATCTGTGACCGTTATATATTTATTAATAAAACATATAATTAATTAAATAATTCATAAATAAATTAAATAAAAACCTGATTTTTGAAATTTAAAACATCTAACCTTAATTTTGAAATGTGTATAAGTAAAAGCAGGATTTATGTATTCTTCCCTTCTACATAATTCTATCTAAAAGAGGGCTATTTGGCCCTCGGATGTAGCAAAGCCAGAGGCCGGTTGTGGGTCCTGTAGATATAGGGTCCAGGCCAAGCCCATAACAGTCTTCCACTAATGCGGCCGATCTTTTGAGCGGCCGAGGCCTGGACCCTTGACACCTATAGGACATTATAAACTATTCTGGATTTCTTCTTAAATCATTTGGGATTTCCTTGGTGCTGGCACGTAAATGACTAAATATCAAGGATCATTTCAAGAATCAATGACAGATATTTGGAAAATCATAAAATGGCCAAGACTAGGTGTTAAAAAGCACAAAGTTTAGTCAAATGACAGCCCATGAATGACCAAATGCAGGTTATCAAAACTATAAATACTTCTCAAGTTCTTCAATCAAAACTAAGTACTTCTCAAGAACCATTTCATATTTTGCTTATTGATCCACAAACTTTGCAGCTTATCTTTCGGCAGGTTTACCTGTGGATGGAAGAAAAGTTAAAAAAGCACATTACACTTTTCATTTCCCTACTCGATGTAAACAGAACCTCTCTAGTTCTGTACTATTTTCTTCTAAAAAAAGCTTACCTATTTCCTAAAACAAAGAAAACGACAATAAAGGAGTTGTACTTTACGAAAAATTCCATGATATGAGCAGCCATGTTCATGTGCCCGTAGACGTTTGAATAATTATGCTGTAGCGTGAGTCCTAGCAGAAGAATCATGACATATGGTGGGCAATCCTTCACACAACAATGGATTCTACACAGTTATTTAGCTTTTCATTGCAATTATAGTTAATGAAAAGGAAGAAAAACAATTACACCAACAATCTCTCAGCAAAACATGAAAGTTTGCCCAAAGGGATATTTAAGATCAAGACCACCAACTGAAAGGCTAAACCAGTTTCCTAATCAAGTCGTAGGTAGATATGAAAATGATATAGGCATCATTTTGGAGGAGCCATCCTATCATGCTTGGGGATTTCTGCATTATTGAGTCGAAGACCACCTGCGAAGTATCAAGTATGTAATAATCGATAGGAATATGCACGCAAATGATTCATGCATACGTGTTAGAGAAGGTACTAGCAGTGCTAATATTTAGGCAGAACAGCATCACAAGGTTAGATGAAAAAGAGATAGGTTATTTCTGAGCCGGAAAATGAACCCAATGTGAGTCGAGTATATTCTCAAACATCTCAGATTTGCTCAATCATATATTAGTATAGATGATTGATAAAATAATTACAAAAGAATATTAAAAGACAATCATGACTTGAGCCAGTCGGATGTTGAACAATTTAATAATAAGGAATCTGCAGAAGACAAATGGTGTAATGATTACCTAGAATTATGAATTGCATTTGTGATTTTCTTATTTCCTCCCTAAAGAATGGCACTGATCATAAAAATAAGAGTCTAGTAATAGTATGTTACAAAAATTTTACTTTTTGACCCAACAAAGCCAATAATACATAATCAACACAAATTCGTAAACAACAAATATGAAACTTTTATAACCAAAACTGATGAGCACAGTTCAAAATCTTCAAGTTCCATGGAAAACCTGAAGCCACCACAAAAATTTCGTGCAAAAACGATAGGTAATATTTTCAACTTAAGTCATTCTCAAGGGTAAGGTCAAGGGTTCGAATCCTGGGGACGCAATAGAAATCCGTGAAAGATAAGATGGGTTTAGGCTCTTCGAGAGCGGACATAAGTTAACGGCTTTGGCATAGAGACTGGGTTGTTACATCTGCCTCTTATCATCTTCTTATCAAGATACGACAAATTCTGGGAAGAAGGAAATTCAAAAAAAGCTCATAAAATAAAGAGAATTGTTAAATGTACAGTGTTTGGTTGGGTTATAGGATCAATTTGAAAATTCGATCAAATATATACCAACTATGACCACTTCGAGAAGTTAAGTAACAATCAACTTGTATGAGAACTTATTTAAGAATATAACTTTTCCGCTATTTGAGAAATGAATTATAAGCTCTACAGGGACCTTTGAATGATGGTCCCAATCCTATCAACATTGCCATTTGCAAAATTTCTTGTAATTCAATATTTATGCAATATTCAGATAACAATACAATTAGAACCAAAAAGATACAACATTTCATAATAATTTTAAACGCCATCACAATAGTGGTAAATGATATCAGAATATCTCCTGTCTGGAGAAATAGATCATTCATCAATTAGTTTATTGTATTTAGAGTACAGTACCAAAAAAATCTGATATCAATTGTTGACAAAGGATAAGAGGTGACGAATGAGGAAAAAAAGGGAGGAGGTGCAAGGTGGAACTCAAGGCGGAGAAATTGGATAAATATTAAGGTTCGGTAGGGTTTGATGGCAAGATAGGGACGAGGATGGAATTGTTTGGCAAATACCCAAGCATCAAGACAAACTGATATTATCCTGTGTATAATGTGGCTTAGTAGAATCTTGAGAAGTTGCTCAATTGGTCAGACCATGGGTTTGCTCCCCAATAGTCACCAGTTCGAACCCCTCAAGACCACTGAGGTGAGTACTCGACCGTAAACTTTAGAATCCCACGGGATTAGTCGAGGTGCGCGTAAGCTGACATAAACATCCACGGTTATCAAAAAAAACTGTGGCTTAGTAGTACATATTTCATCAACCATCAAATTTTGTCAAGTGATTCACTTGAATAATCAACCATGGCCACTTAAAGAAAGCATGTGGCAGAACTAAATTAATATATGTACATGTCTATGAACTTTCATATATTGTTATTGAAAGAGAGGTGAAATAGATAACGTCTATGATGCATAGACGTTCAGACTCGGGTACAGGTATCTAGTACGGGTACGTATCTAAGTGTCGGATCTTTTATTTTCTAATGTAATACAGGATGTGACTAAAAAGAGTCTAAATTTCGAACACGGGTACGTGGGTTCGTATTTTAAACTTTAATTTTTTTACTAATCCAAGAAGTCATTTTGAATAAACCAAAATCAATTATTCATAAAGAATGAAATATATATTGAATAAGGTGTTAAAACGAATAAAATATAATTTTGGGATTTAGTTTTCAATTATAGGAATTATTAAATGTTATACAAAATAAAAAAAATGAGAGAATTGATTGTAATTTGGACTTAGTGGAGCATTAAGTAGCTCTATATGGAACCTATTTTTATTTTATAGAAACAAAACCTTAAACCACTGATATATAGAGAGAGAAGGAAAGAGAAAAAAAAGAAAATGGAAAGAAAAAAAAGAAAAAGGAAAACCTAGAGCCACCACCTCTCTCCACCGTCTCGGCAGTGACGCTAGATTTATAGAGAGCAAAAAGGGGAAAGAAGATAAGGAAAAGAAGAACAAAGAACAAAAAGAAAAAGCAAAAACAATGAAGTATTTGGTTGAAACTTGGAGGATCTGACATATATCTCATATCATACCCATGTCGTGTCAGTACTCCAACTATTTCGAAGAGTTCGAGTATCAGAGGATAACATTATCATTGTCAAATAACGAAGATGCCATAAGAGCTCAAATTAACACGTGCAATAAAGTTTACTGATTATGATAAGAAATTAGCATTTAAGTTTTATGATAATACTCAGGTTTCAAAGGAGTAATGATACCAATCAAAATGCTTTATTCTAGAAGTTCGATAAAGTGACCAATGGAATTTTACCATTCTTACAATAAATAGATATGGATTGCTTCCCCAACAAAAACCCTCTTAATCATTTCCTCTGAATTTCTTAAAATTTAAAAGTGAACAAATTTGTCTTTCCTTATAGTTTTTTCTTAAAAAAATCAGGTTGCTGTCACACTGGGTCTTATCATTATCTATTTCTTCACCAAACATTATAAGGGGGAAAAGAATGCAGCCTTTATAATTTAGGTCTATGTTAATCTTCCTCGATAAGGAAAGACTCAAAACTTATTGTTTTAAGCCTTTCAAATTTAAAACTAGCTTTCCAGGTTATAAGAGGTTTTAGATCATACCCGCCCCATCTGGAATATAGGGATTGTAAGGAGATTGAAAGATATATTCTTTCAATTTCCTTTGCACCTAATCTAGTTAAGCAGAGAAATTCTACAAGGAACTGCAGTATTAATTCCTTCATTTTTTTCTTCCTAGGATTTGATAGCTCAAAAGGATAATTTTACTTTAATGTAGCACGTTCTGTAAATCGCTAATTTAGATGCATGAATGATAAAAGTTCAATGTTATTCATCATCCAGAACATTTTTTTTCTATTTTTCCTCACTAAATCTTCAAGCTCAACAAGGTCATACTAAATAATCTGCATTAACAATCTTTCAGATTAAGAATTTATAATACCCATATTATTGCTAGTCTCTTTCGAAAAGAGAGAAAGATTAAAAAAAAAAAAAAAAGTAATGCATATATATGTCCGTTGCCAAAAAGACAGCTTCCATGAGTTTAATTATTTACCCGGTCGTGAAATCAGGTGAATGCGAGAGCGAGGACCATCAAACATCCAGCTATCTTCGTCCAAGGACTTGACCTCTTTACTTAGAGTGGCTATTAAATCAGACTTGAGAACTGAAAACACAAGCTAAGTTATTCACATTTCTAAAAGTTTCATTTATGGTCAAGCAATCTGTCTCGGCCATCTTTCAGATGCTAGGGGAAGCGGCTGATACCACCCCTTCCAAGATTTTCCGGGTGAATACATCAACCATCTATAGTCCAAAGAAGCTTACATATCACACTACTCATCTGCTTGTACCTTTTCATGTTGAAAAATAGTAAACCATCCGCAGCAATCATAACTTTGACTGCTGAGGTTTTCAAATCTCACTACAAGCCTTACTAGTAAAAAGACTATATAAACACCAAAATTTCATCAACATCTTTCAAAAGAAGGTTTACTAATTTGGAAATTCTTGATACACAATCTTTCAAGGTTCTAAAAGAATATTATAAATACTAGTTTGTTGACTTTTCTTAACCATGGTACTAGTAATAATCTCTTTCATTGTGGTTATCTTAATTTCTTCTCCCATGACTTGTTTTCGATGTTAGACCTCAACCAATTCATATACATGTTTAATTCTTATTCTATACTTTCTTGTCACTCCTCAAAGACAATGTTGTTTCTTAATAGCCTTAGATTGAGAAACATATAGCAATTCTGGAATAAAAGTTTACCAAATCCACAACATAGCTGAATCTAATTCTCTTAAAATTTACAGCAATATCAAATCAAACCTTACTTATTTTGAACCTTTAACTATTAACAATACTATTTCGGATAAATAATTCATTTGCAAGTAACCACACAATAATTTAGAACTAATTATCGCAACTATAGCTGTAGAAAGTGAAAACCAAATTAAAATCTTTTACATAAACAATAAGGAATATGTGTGAGAAGAATAATATACCGACCGCGGAGGGCCTCGTCTTTTCGATCCTGAATGGAGATTAGATCCGCCGGAAAGTGAAAATCATCGCCACCAACTGCCGCCGCAACCGATGATGATCCCATCAAAGCCGCCGATATGGATGATCTCGCCGGCGATGACGTCACCGAGCCCACACTGCTCATTATGATACTTCAGTTGGAGCAAGGAGCTCGATTTCAAAGGTTTTAGTTTTAGAATAGGAATGGAGAAATTACACATTTGGTCTCCACATTAAGGACCCTTACTAATTCATCTCCAACAACAAAACTGACAGAACTGGTCCCCAACCTTTGAGGACTAAATTTATATTTTTCCCAAATTTGGAATTCAATCTTGTTACAGAGAATTACTTTTACAATGCCTCTGTTTGAATCCCATTTTTTGGGGAAAATAAATTTTGTAATAGTTATTTTTTTAAGAATATGTAGTTAAAAGGTAGAGAAATTTTTTTAATTTACACGTGCAAAACTATTTTATTAAGAGAATATATAATTAAAAATGAATTTGAGGAAAAATGAATTTTAACATGATAACAAGGCACACAGTAATTAATAAATATTAGGAAAAATTCCATTATTAGTCCTCAATCTATTGTCTCAATAGCAAATTACAACATTAAAAAGAAGCAAGTTGATCTCAACTTTTCATACAAATGCACGTGAACCCCTTGTTGTGCAGCTCTTCCCCTCCGGGAAAAGGGAGGAAAGAGGCCATAAATTGACATAAATAATGAACAAGTGCAAGTTTCGCCACCCCAGCAACATAAGAGTACTGACCATGTTGAGGGATAGCTCTAAAGAAAAATTTAATTGATTTTCATGATCCCTTTTCTCCATATACATTTTGGCAGAAGGGATTTATTTTGGTTTCCCAACCAAGAACTACTAAGCGAAGTCATTTGTGTTTTTCAATAGTTTTAGGAATTTCAGCTTAATGTAATTTCACTGATATCAGAAGAATTTATTTTCTTTGATCATATGCAATGGTGGTTCAATGTTTTCTCGTGATGGTTCACAAATTTTTCGATCTTATTCATAAAGTAATCTGTTGAATGCAACCTAGAAAAAAGTTGACAATTTTGGTGAATTGAGGAGAAAATCTTGGGTGGGGCGGTCTACCAGCCCATGTGGAATGCCCACCTTATCATAGAACAACACACGTACAATTTTAAGTAAACTTTGACAACTGTACATTTTTAATTAAAAATACATTGGGCTCTATCCCGATTTCGCCTTTTTCTTAAAAATTGGACCCATCTTCTAAAGAAGCCGTTTCTCTCTTTTCAAAGTCTTGTTGCTATGCTTTCTGGACATTTGCAACCCAGCAAAATCATAGGTACGTTTTAATTTATTAATTTCATTTTGTAAGTGTTTATATTGTATAAGTGGGAAAGTGAAATCATCTTTTATTGTATTTATTTTGCTGATATTAATGTGGGTTGAATGGGTTTTACTATGGGTTTTTAATATGTTAGTAATTTTTTAATCAGGTTTTCTATCCAATGGAGTAGAGAAAAAATTTGATGAAGAACTCAATGTGGGAATAGAAGTATGTTCTGATGAAGAATCTTATAATATATGTAATTCATATGCTCTAAGAAAAGGTTTTAGTATCCACAAATGGCATATTCGAAGAGATACATCAAAAAACATTAAACGAGAATTTTTATTTTCAAAGGGACGGAGAGTTACTTGAAATGAGGAAATATAATAGATTAGAGACGAGAACAAATGGCAAGTTTATGGTGCATTTTACAGTAGAGGGTGGAATATGAAAAATTTCTCATATCAATACTCATCATAACCATGAACTTGCTAGACCGGAAAAAATACAATTTTTCATATCAGAACATAGGGTGTCTAATGCTCAAATAGATGTTATTAAATTCCATGGTTAATGCAGGTATAGGACCAACAAAATCATACTTCTATTTAGCAAATGAGTTTGATGGAGCTGAATATGTTAGATTTACCAAAAAAGGATATGTGAAATTATTTGCAATGAAAAAAAGGTGAAATGATCGAAGCATGAGACGGGTTTTTCTTTGCTAAACCATTTTAAGTTAAGCAAAGTGAGGACCCGAACTTTTTCTACTCAATGCAAGTGGATCAATTTAATTGTATGACCAAAAAAAAATTTGGAGAGATAGTAGCTCAAAGTTAGATTATGATTGCTTTGGTGATGTTGTATGTTTTGATACTACTTTTCGTACAATCTGATATGTACTCCGTTTGTCAGAGTTAACCATCATTGGAAAAATGCATTATTCGGTTGTGCACTGTCATATAGCTAAGAATGCTACAAGTTTCTTAGGATGATATGATTGAAAAGTTTGACCTCAGGAGTTACTCGTGGCTAAAGTAGTTGTGTTCACTGCAAGGAAAGTGGTGTCATGCTTTTAGTTTGGATACTTTTTCAGCAAATATAAGGTCCATCCAAAGGAATGAGAGCACAAATAATATCAAATTTCTACCAAAACAATGGACCTTAATAATTTTCTACACCACTATGAGAAGGAAATAGAGGAAATGCCCTTGGCTAAATTGGAAGATGATTATCGATGCAAACATGGTGTTCCTTGTCTGTCCATAAGGTATGGTATTTTAAGTCATGCAATTAATGTGTATTACCCAAAAAATGTTTAATCTTTTTGAAAACGAGCTAATGGGTGCATTGGAGTGAGGATGAAACAAGTGTGTAGATTATGAGCTTTACACATATGAAGCAATTGAAGAAGGCCAACAAAGGGCGTACGAACTCCAATACAATCCCCTTACGTTTGATATTTTTTGTTCATGTAAGTTATTTCAATCATTGGGAATTTTATGTCGACGTGCTTTAAAGGTGTTTGATTTGAATAATCTCACTAGCATACCGACACAATTCATAATGAAGAGGTGGACAAAAGAGGCAAAGAAAGGAATTGCGGTAGCTAATGACAAAAGTGATTTGTCAATAATGGCAAATGGTGAAAAGTCTTCCAAATCATTATGCCTCAGTGAGTTGATGCACGAAGGAAATAATGTCTATAATGTTGCCTCAATGACAATTTCGGAAGCTAAGATTGTCAAAGAAAAGTTAGCTGAAGCAATGAAGTTACTTGAAAAAAACGAGGAAATTATCAATGTGTTTCAAAAGTTCAGAAAAGAGGATGATCATTTTACTTGTAATGCTCTTGTAGACGAGCCAAGAATATTAAATCCACCAACTATGAAAGCCAAAAAAATAACAAATGCAAGATTAAAAAGCAATTTGGAGAAAAGAAAAAGGAAGGCAATGAAAGGTAATAAACATGATAATTATATTTTTTAACCTCAACAATAATACCCTTATTCAGTTCTTAAATAATATATCATTTTTGTCACTTATGATGATTACCTTGCATTCGAAGAAGAGAATCACCAAAATAATGGCGGCCCACCTTACCCAATATTTCCACCTACATGGACTGCATTTACTTCGTTCATTCATCACTTAGATCTCAAGTGTCCAAACATGCTTCAAGACCCACATTATTATAGTTTTGATTTTCTACAAAGAAATGATGAATGATTGCATAGCGGAAGTTTTGATATAACACTTGTATGAACTTTATTAAATAAAATACATTGGATGAAGTTCTAAACTCTGTACCAATGAATTTGGTTTATAAATTTATTTATTACTTTGTTTACATTTTTCAGGTGATCGAATCATTGAAGTATGATACTTTGTAGCTAAAATTATTGTAGAAGTTAAAAGAAATGTAGGCCCAATGTATTTTTAAATTAAAAAATATGCAGTTGTCAAAGTTTGCTTAAAATTATACACTTGTTGTTTTGTGATAGAATGGACATTCCACATGCGCTGGTACAACAGCCTCGCCCAAGATTTTCTCTAAATTAAGGGGTGGGATTCAATCTAGACTTTTAGGGTCACTTGGGAGTTTTTGTTTAACAGGATTTTGGAAAAATTACATTATAATTAAAAAATACTTATAAATAAAATATTACTTATAAAATAAGAAAAATTACAGTATAATTAAAAATTACTTTTACGTAATAAATTTGTTTATAAAATAAATATACTACTAATAAGATAGAAATTCACTTATAAAATATAAAAAAGTTACTTATAAGTAAAAAATCAATTAAAATTATTTCAAGTGTAAAATTAACTTATAATTGTAAAATTTACTTATAAGTAAAAACACTAACTTAAAGTTTTAAGTAAATATTTAATTTTTAAAGTTAAATATTAACTTATATGTAAAAAAATTATATATAAGTAAAATATCACTTATGAGTAAAAAAATTTATACAAGAAACTATAAACTAAAAATTTCACTAAATGGTATTAATTTTATTCTTTTAAAAAACTTTCAGAATCGATAGATAATCAACCATCAAGCATAGGTTGGATAGTTTTAAAAATCACTATTAAAATTACTCAAAATCAATCCGCTCGTAAACGATCAAAATCGGTACTTTAAAAAAACCAATAATCGGTACTCCGAAACTCCCAAGCAGGCCTTAGAAAATTTAAAAAGTTTACGTATACTCAATCAAGACTTTTTAAGACTTTTATAGATTTTTAAAAAGTTTTTAAAGGTCATTGATTATTATGAATCCGTTGATTGGAATCGCGAGATGAATAAATGTTACAAATGATGCATCAAAATTTTTTAGAAGTCTAAAAAAGTTACAGGTACGGAAAATGTCAATGACTTTAATAAAATTCTTCAAGTACCAACTTTTAAGTAATAAGTACAAAAATAAAATTTTATAAAAAGTCTCTCATTCGCCCCCAAGATTTGAAACACTTCCAAAAAAAATGTTTTTCCATCTGTAATATTTCTCTCATTTTTCAGTATATATTATTTCTCTTTCATCCTAAAAACTCTGGCCATTTCGTATAGTTTAAGGGACTTATCCTAAGAAGATTCTGGCCTGAAGCAATCATATGGAGCATTCACATTTTGAATAGAAGTCCAACTTTTGCTGTTCAAAATATGATGCCTAGAGAAGCTTGGAATGGACATAAACCAAGTGTCAACCACTTCAGAATCTTTGGTTGCATAGTATATGGCCACATTCCAGATCAAAAAAGAAGAAAGCTAGATGACAAAGGAGAGAAATGCATCTTTCTTGGCGTTAGATATAAA